AGGATTCCTATATGTTCCTATAGGATTCCGATAGGATTCCTATATATTCCTAAAGGAATGTATAGGAATCCTATAAGACATTTTCGTAAGGGCATATAGTCCATAATTGAGTTTCTTTTGAAAATAAGAAGTAGGCTTTGGCGTGACCAGAAGGCAATCAGTCGGTTAGGCTTAGACCTAACGTTAGTGAGTCCCGTAGATGAGAGGTGGGGGGCTGTTGAAGAAAGGGAAAGCCATTGAAAATTGGTTTTAACACTACTTCATGTTTCCTATTGAACCTGTAGGGTTTCTGTAGGGAAGCATGGATTCCTAAAGGGATTCCATAAGATTCCTCTAGGAATCGTATTGTATCCCATAGGTTTTTCATTAGACCTATCATAGGCGTAGAAACGTCCTCGAAAGTGAAGTGGGGGGAGCGGGAAAAATGAGATAGGTCAGTTTCGAAATTCGGAAAATTACTGAAATTGGCTCAATGCTGGACCAATATTGGGCAGTTAGGCTGCACCTTGCCCATGATTGCCACTATCAGATAAATATCGGGTTCCCAATATTGTCATTCCATCATCGATCTAATATCGGACCAATGAGTTGATCCAATGTGCCTACGTTGCCCTGGAAAGTTTTAGGGAAAATGCTTAAGTTCTCATCCGGGCCGCCAGATGGAGGTAAGAATCTAGCATTTCTTACAGTACACGAAAGTGCCCTTCTCTCTGTCCATTGAATCATCTCTCACGGGAGTGTGTTGTACCTCCCCATATATCTCGCTTTGCCTCTTTTTAGCCGTCAATACACTTGGACACTTCCTTATTTGTTATCCCCATATTCGAGACAGAATCATGGAGTCCATCCTAGAAATAAGTTCATTTTTCATATAAGAACCCCACAATAGCGACACTATTTTTACTTAAAGAGGATGCTTACGGAAAACGTTGGTTGCACATAGGTCCTGCCTGCCATTTCCGTAGGCTTGGTGGAGAATTATTCTCTCTCCAAGAAAGAAGCTAGCTCTCGGGCACAACATTCTGGCCATCCTTGAGGCAGATGTGCACATGGGCAGAGGGCGATGCAAGTAGTTCAGGCGGTACTAGTCCGGAAGTTGCCCCACCATGGGGGAATCTCTACTCGGTAATGAATTTTGAGCAAAAAGTACCACTAATATTGGCCCTGGTGGTCATCCCATTTAGTAATAATCTCGGTTGTAATGGCAGGGTTTCGAAACCCAAAAAAGCCTCAGTGATTCCTATATATCAGGAGTTCTCTAAGACCCGATAGGGATCCTATAGGTTTTTCGTGTTTCAAAAACCTATTGGAAAAGTCTATAGTTTTCCTATGGGACTTTTTCGCAAGAGTTGTAAGAAAAAATATACTCTATCGAGCAAATGCGTCTTGATTATACGATTTCGATCGGATCAGAGTACGATGAATTCTATTCAGGAAATACAAATCGACGATGGGCAAATAATTTTTAGAAAGGTCCTCTTCCAGCAAATTATTATTTTTAAAAGGGAAAAGTTGTGGTGCTCGTCTCTGACGAAGAGATTCGGAATATCTTCACCGAAGTTATCGGAATGAGGAGCTCGAAGGTTGAGTCGACGGCTAGAGAAGCACCGCAGATCTATCGGGTGGAGGATTACCGAGGATGCGAGAATTCCGGCGTGATGTGCGTCGGGGTCGAGGACACATGGATGGTGGAAGGGATCTCCCGAGCCATCCAGACCCTCTTCATTGTGGACGGGGGAACTTCTGCTGCAGCACAAAGTCGTATGGGCCTCTGGATGGAGATGGAAAGAAGAGGGAAACTCCTTCATCGCCCTTTAACGTCTTCCGATGTCCTTGAATCCCTCTCCGATGACGACTGGAGGGCATTGAATGAAAAAAGCCTCTTTCTTAAGGTACGATGCAGAGTCTCGTGGTGATTGTTCTCATTCCCAGACCTATCGTGTCTACGATTTGATTGTCTTCCGTGAAAACATGAGTTTCGTTTGCTCTATCGCGAATGCCTTCCATTCTGCAGATCCCTAAGGATACGGCGACGGATGACGATGCAAGGAGAGAGACTTCTTCTCTAGAAGGTATTTCCAAACCTGTAGCCAGTCTCACCATCACCATAATTTCCTTATTACGATTACCACATTGTTACTTTTGCCCCACATCACCCTAAATGAATGTCAAAGGCACAACCACTGCTCAATCACTCCAGATATTGTGGCTTCATTTCATTTTTACTCGCTCTCCCACGCACTCCCGGGTTTCACTGCAATCGTTTTTCGTGAGCTTGGAGCGAGACAAGACTCGCGATTCCTTCTTCACCATCGCGTCCGCTGCCTCTATAGGATCTCAAGCTCACAAAATTGGAACCTAGATTTTTCTCATCTTTGTCACTTCTGTCACATGACGGAGACGCACGAGAAATTCACATTTCGTGACGATTGTGCGCAGGCGTTCTGCCGCTTCTTACCTGTTTCTCCAGAAACAGTGTGGGGGGACCTTCCGTTTTATTTCGCATCTCCTTTCCATGTATTTCCTCTGGAATTAAAGTACAGGACGGGAAAGGAGAAATTCCCTCTGATCACACACATACCAGTACGAATTCTAAATTGCATTCCCAGGTGATATTGTGAATTTCGTTCACACGGTGTGAGAATATGAGAATCTCTTCTACCCGTATCTATTTCAAGAGGAATTAGAGGGGAATGACAAAAATTAAAATGGCTATAAAAGCATCCGCGGTTCGGCATCACGTGAGGAAAGGGTGGGGGACATGCCGATATCATCTATCGTCATCGGATGTTATATTAGAATCACTATTTTTTCCAATCGATTTTTTGGGAAAGAGGCAAAATAATACGTTCAGAGGACGTAGAAGGGATTCGGTGAGAAAATAAATTAATGAGATTTTCTTTGGAGACGAGAGAGAGACAGGTGGAGGCAGGCAGGTGCCAACAACGGACGAACGGAGTCAAATCGGCACATTGAAAAAGCTCTCAGTAAGATGTGCGTATTTTCACTGAGTTTCTGTAATTCCATGGAAAGAAGAAACGTGATTTCCCTCTCGGATCCATACAGAACTGGAAGTGAATTCATGACGCGATTCCAGGGAACAACCGGAAATATCGAAACAATTCCGAAACGCTTCATATTTTTATGTATCAAGAGAAAAGATGAAAGAAAAATAGTTAAATTCCTTCTTCTACCGTTTCACTCGATTTCCCCGTCCTTGGTAGGATTCTTAATGAGGACTTTCTTTCCCTTCCAGGGGCAACAAGGATTTTCGTCATGGGGAGTTCAGACGGAGGAGTGGGGATATGGGAAGTTCCTGAGAACACGAGATGGGTCCAGCAAGGGTTTTCCATAGTAGACATTTTCCTCGCCCAATCCTTTATGCTGATCCACGGGTCAGAAGGGGAAGTCCGGATTCTTCATCTGGAAGGAAAGGATCCCCGTGAGGCCCCTCACGGATGGGACCACAAAATCTGCATTCCCCCTACCTTTAGCGCGGAAGGGACGACAGGGGTGGGGATCCGGGAATCTCTTTTTCTCTTGGGAGGGAAGAGAAATCTGTGTGAAGGACGCAGCCTCGATCTCCACAGCGAAAAATGGATGAATCTCCCTCTGATGACCCAGGGGAGAACGAACGCAACTTCGGTGATGTGGAACCCCGACACCATCCTCGTCATGGGGGGGGCTGACCCCGAGAAGGAAATGTGTCTCTCCTGCTGCGAATTTTTGGACCTGAGAATCGGGCAGTGGTCCCCATTTCATCTAAACATGCCCCTTCCCGTGAACAGTCACGCAGCGACCCTCTACAACGATCATATTTACATCTCGGGGGGATTCAGAGCTGGGGAATCTCTGGGGGAGGTGCGGAGATGCAGGGCGAATGGGCAAGGGCCCTGGGACCCCCTTCCCTCTTTACGATTCAAAAGACATTTACATGGGATGATGGGATTTGGCACGGCGGGACTCCAAGTCATCGGCGGGATATATCAAAAGGAATCAGAGCTTACGTCTGTCCTTTCGACGGAGACGCTGACCTTGGATGGAATGCGAGGATGGGAGATCCAACTGGAACTTCCCTTTAAACGTGTTTGGAAGGCTCGTTCGATGAAGGTGGTGGGTTGATGGTGATCCCCTTCCCCTCATTCCGGTTCCTCTTAAATTGAGATGGTGGAACCTCGGAGACGTAGAAACACGGATTTTTGAGGCACGAGACATCTTTTTGAACTGTTTCAACTCCTACGGTATTCGTTTCCTCGCCGATCCCCACCTCGCGTGGGACTCCGCGATCGCATGCATGTCCCGTCAGGATCTTGGACGTCCAGAAGGTGTCCGACTGGTGTCCTTCGAGGACGGACGACGGTCCATCGGCATTCTTTATTTCGTGCCTCGGAGACGAGGAAGGACTTCGCCCATCGTCGCCCGTATTCAAGGAACGCATCATCAAGATGAGAGTGGAAACTCGTTCTGTGATTTTTTATTCCGTGGATCCTCTGGAGTACTTTTACTGATGAAATTCTCAATTCAAAATCAAATAGCACCTATTTACTTCATTTGTAGTGAAGTAGTCCTGTCGGCGTGATTTAAATTAAACGCCCGGAATCGGATGGAAATATAATCAAATCGATACAGTACTTGTTATAAATAATTTGCCCGAGCGTAGCACGGATGGAAAAAGTGAGGAGTGGGGGGCACAGGAACTCGTGGATACTGTTCTCATGCATTTCAAGTGGCTTTTTCTTCCTTTTTGGCTTCTTTTCTTGAAAAGTTGGCGGTACGTGCCCATCCACCTACGCTATGCCGCTGATGATTGGTAAACGCCACGTGTTCTTCGTCCAAGCTAGTGATGCAGTGAATCACTGGCATGCCGAACCGCACTCCTCTCATCTGTCAAGTACCTGTATTTTTTGCGTTTGTGTTCTTTCAAATTGGGTAACAATTTTCTCAAATGGGTTCTCATGAGGAATATGAGCTTATTTCTGGCCCGGACGCCATAATTCTATCTTGAATATGAGACTGACAAATAAGAAAGAGTCCAAGTTAATTTACGATGAGGCGAGGCGAGACATACGGGGAGGTATTAAACCCTCCTGTAAGAGAAGATCCCCTGGATAGAGGGGAGGGCACTTTTGTGTACTGCGAGAAATGCGAGACCCGTGCCTCCATCTAGTGGCCTAAAGGAGAACTTCAAACGGAACCCTATAGGTTCTATAGGGAACCTATAGTATTCCTATATGTGCCCATAGGATTTCTATATATTCCTTAAGAATACCTTTAGACGTTTTCGTAAGGGTCACTCCTGACCTGAGTAAGGAGATCGTGGGCCTCAACCGATGGCCCCGCCCCAAGACGGTAATGTGAGGCTTGTAAGACGGGTGGGGGGGGGGGGGGGGGGGGAAATGGGGCAGGTACCGTAGATAACCGCAGCCACTACTATCAACCAGTCTGCTCTAATTACTACGTTCACTGAATGTTGATTATCGTGAAATCTCTCTCTGTCTCTTAAAAAATGATCCCTCCTCTTCTTTCGTAATCCACAACCGCCAAGTACGTTTTTCCTAAAGAATCTCTATTGCATTAACAGACTTTCGCTTGGAAGCTAAATAAGACTTGCGAAGAAAGTGAGTTTTTTTTAATGGAGGGAGAGAAACAGAGAATCTGGACCAATTTTCCCATAGCTAAAATTTGCTTCGTTTCCCATAAATATATATATAATCACCACAAATGGATTACCAGCAAGTTCCGCAAATGGAGCTCGGCTACTCGGGTTCGCTTTTTTCTCTGCTCACCAGGTCGAAAAGGACCAAACCCGAGAGACTGCTTATACTTCGCCATCAAAGAAAAAAATGAAAACGTAACGAACCATCTGCGATGCATTTGGCCTGCGCCCATGCCTAAAGAAGGAAGACAAATTTTTTTGTTCTCTTCAGGTCTCTTCAGGTCGTTCGGCTAAAATCGCCTCGACAAGTTCGCACGAGCGGACGATACGAAACGGTACACCTGGAATCACCTGGAAGCGAGTCTTCACTCGGGAGTCAGACACAGAGAAGTGATCTCGCGGGTGGACATGGAAAAAAAATTCAGCAGGAACTCGGATAACAGGGAGACAAAATGTAATACATTTGCGATCTGCCAAGGTCAGTAACAGGGAAATCAACTAGGGACATAAAATTATACTCGGACATGTGGGAGGAAACGTATCGATGCACACGGAGGTACTTTGGGGGTACTCGCGAATATTAGGTACAGGGTGCTCCAAAATCACAGTCCCAAAAGTAAACGCGTGCCATTCAAGCATCGCTCAAGGAAAATCCACATTCTCGTGAATTCTTTGGCAGTTTAAGTAGCTTGAGTGAAAAAGTCGTATTCAACGTTCGAAAAGGCGATGTCTGTTTGCTGGTACAACTGGAGAGTCCTGTTTTGGTTCAGAGGAAATTTGCCCAAGAATTTGGATTTATTTAAAGAAAAACAGCACTGGAGAAAAAACTCAAGGTATAACACTTTCTTGAAACAGGCTCGATTAATCCAGGAAAACGAGGTCTGAAAGCTAAAAGGGTCCGGTCGGATGAGATGGTGTCACGGGTGCAAGACCTGTTTGAGACACCGAATTATTAGTCTGAGGCACCAACATCTTATGTGCCTCTTATCTTCAGAATCATCCGCAGATAACGATTATGCATTTTCAACACCAATATGTAATCCACTGCCATAATCCAACCCACCATCATCATCAGACTCCAGCTATGAGACACTCACTGCTTCGTCTTCAAGACTTGGTTTCTTCGAAGAGACAGTAATAGCTATTTTGATTTTACCCTGCAGAAAATGCCCCACAGGGGACACTACCTACCATCAAAGAAATACGACAGAAGTAGCATGGAGTATTGAATCTCGCTTTATGCAGAGGTGGAAACACTGGCAAGATTCGTTCACAGATGGCAGAGTGATGTCCTTGCAAATGTATAACCAAGTAGAACGTCAGCATACGTGAATAAACTGTGATTATCATGTGAAGTACGTGAAAACATATTAAAGGGTTCAGAGAACTCGGATATAGGCGGAAGGGATCTCCGTTGTCACTTCATCCAACTCGCCTTCAACACATTCATGAAAGGAAGTTTGTCTTGAGTTTCCCATCCTCCTTCTCCGTTCAGGGTCAATGTCTCCATCTCGAGGACTGACACGTTCTTTCCCCCCACCTGTTGCTGCCTCCCACCGATGACTTGGAGTCTATTTGCCCCGTCTCCGATCATGCCATGATGGTGTCTGTTGAATTGTAGAGGAGGTAGTGTTTCCCATGGCGCTCCCCCATTTACTCCACACTTCCACACCTCTCCACGAGATTCACCATCTCTAAACCCCCCCGAGATATAGATATGATCATCGTAGAGAGTTGCTGCGTGACTAGAAACCGGAAGGGGGATGTTTAAGGGAAAAGAAGACCACTGTCCCATTCTCACGTCCAAACGCTCGCAGTTAGAGAGAAATATCCCTTTTTCGGGGTCCTTTCCTCCCAAGACGAGGATGGTATGGGGGTCGCACACAACTGAAGCCGCATCCTCTCTCCCTTGCATCATCTTTGGGAGATCCATCCAAGTGCAACTGAGAAGATCCAGTCGGCGTCCTAAACGGGAATGTCTCTCTCCTCCAAAGAGAAAAAGAGAGTCCTGAATCCCCACTCCCGTCGTCCTGAACACGATAAAAGGGTGGGGAACGGGGAGTTTGTGGTCCCATTCCTGAGCGACCTCACGAAGATCCTTCCCCTCCATATGGAAAATCCGGACAACCCCCCCTGCCGCATGGATCAGCATGTCGGAATGGGCAAGGAACATGTTCTCAGCGAAATGTGGTTGCCGAACCCAGAGAGTGTTCTCGAGGACTTCCCATACCCCTCCTCGCTTGTTTTTACCTGTCCCCATGGCGAAAATCCTTGTTGCCACTGCAACGGAAACAGAATCCAAGTTGGGAAACTTTCCAGGAATGGAGGAATCGAGGATGAGATGGAGAATGAAACTTTTAGGTATGTGCGCGAAAGGGTTATTCGGAAGTGAGTGACGTTTGTGGTGATCCTTTTCGAACCATCTTGGAAGTGCATCATTCACCAGTCCGAATGAAACTTTTGTAATTATATTTTACTTTATGGTTTCCATTGAGTTGCGAATATAAAAATGAGAGTTTTAATAGAGTTTTAAAGGCGTATGAGGTTTAAAGAGTTTTTCACATCGGAAGTAAGCCTGATTTTAAGGCAGTAAACGAATTAAATAGTTGTCCCATTCTTGCATGTATGCAGTTTAGGTACTTTTGGCAAAACTTTTGACTGAACGCAGGATTTTTTTTGTTCTATTTTAAACAGGATTCTATGATACTGCATCTGCGATAGCTTTTGATGGGTTATAGTGTTCAATTACCTTTTGGAGGTGAGATCCTCTTCCCTGCATCATCATCTATCTGCGTATCCTTGGGGATCTGCATAGATGAAGGCAGACATTACAGAAACATCCATTTCTTTTACTCTCATGGGATTAAACAAAAACAAAACAGGTTTGAGATTGAGGGGAACAATGACCATGTAATATAGGTCTTCCCGACGAATTTCTGCAAAAGTCCGTTCGAATTCGGCAGAGGCCGCTTCTATTTCGGCAGTGCGCCTGTCTCCTCCCCGTTTTCCCATTCAATTCCGGCAGCTCTCCTCCCTCCTGTTTTTCCCATTCAATTTTAGCAGGTGACTTTCGATTTTGGCATCCGCCATTTCGATTTCGGCAGGGAAAGGGAATATCATGTTTCTGGTAATTAATATGGGTTTGAGGAATGGAGAAGGAAAGAACACGAAGCATAGGGTATTTTCGGCGAGTAATAACTTTTTTATGGAAAGGAAAATACATGGACGTTGACACTGACTCTGCCCATCGATACAGTCTCTTCTTTTGTCACATAATCAAGTATGTTTGTGCTTGGCGATACCACGCAAATCACTTATGATGGGTTATTTGGCATCTGATGCCTCTTCTATTTCCAGTAGCTTCTCTATCCGACTTAAAAAAAAAACTTTTTCTGGTTTCCCTCGTCGAAGTTCTACGTTAGTTTCAGAGTTAGTTAGTTAGAGTTAGTTAGTTTAGGAAGGTACA